GGTCAACTAGGGGCATGCCTTTGGGGCTTGTATTTTGTTCCTGGTGAACTGAAGTGCTCTCTCTCTCTCTCTCTCTCTCTCTTTCCTGGTTGTCATGTTCTGAGCTGCTTTTCTCTGCCACCTTCTGCCCTCATGCTCTGACTCAGCTTGAGCCCAGCACTATGGAGTCAGCTGACCATGGACTGAACCTTTGAAAATGTGAGCTAAAATAAATTTTTCCTCCTCTAAATTGTTCCTCGTTGGGTATTTTGGTCACAGTGATACAAAAGCTGACTAAAACAGTGAAATTATTCTTCAAAAGTGAAGCAGAAATAGAGTTCCTCACATAAACAAAAACAAAGGGAATTCATCACCAGCAACCTGCTCTGAGCAAACATTCAAACAAGTTCTTCAAGGAGAAGAAAAATGATGTAGATCAGAAACCTGGATCTACATAAAGAAAAGGAGAGCACTGGAGAAGAAATAAAAGTGAAATGCCATCTTTTCTTTATTTTATTCCTGATATAAAAGATAACCATGTGTTTAGAGCAGTAATAGTAACCATATACTGGGTAATTATAGCATAGGAAAAAGTGAAATTAATGAGAGCAATATCATAGGGTACCTGCCCTACACGTGAAAGGGTGGAGTATTATTTGAGGATGTTCTTATATTCTTATGATGTACATTGCAAACTCTGGGGCAACCACTAAACGTCTGATAAAGGAGGATAGTTGATATTCTAAGAAAGGGGATAAAACAAAATCATATAAAATGCTCATATAACCAGAGAAATGGGAAAATACGTAAAGAACAAAGGTAAAATAGAGAAAGCAGTTATAAATATAACAAATACTACTCCAGCTCTACCAATAATCACTTTAAATGTGACTAGTCTAAATATGCCAATTAAAACAAAAAGTGTCAAACTGAATAAAGAAACAAGACTCCACCATATATTGTTTATAAGAAAGCTACTTTGATTATGAAGACCCAGATTCAATTAGAGATGCACTATACCAACTAATCATGGGAATCTGCAATAGCTATATTAATTTTACATAAAGTACATTTCAGAATATGGAAAAGTATCAGGGATAAAGAGGGACAAACTCCAAGAAGACATAGAATTCTAAATATGTAAGCATTTAGCAACAGAAATCTAAATATGTGACACCAAAACTGATATAACTCAAGGAGAAATTGAGAAAATTCACTACTATAGTTGGAAACTTCCAAACACTTCTGTCAGGGCTTGATAGATGAAGCAGGCAAAAAATCAATAAGGATATTGTTCCCTGAATGGCACTGTCAATCAACCTGATCTTATTGAAATTCAGAAATACTCTACCCCAAAGGAATAGAGTACACATTCTTTTCAAGTTTACATAAAATTCAGAAAGGCACACCATGTCCTGTGTCATAAAATAGTCATCAATAAATTTAAGAGGTTAGAAATTTTAAAAAAATCTTCTTATATAACAATGAAATTAATCTGAAAATCACCAATAGAAGAGAACTGAAAATCCCCAAATATTTGGGAATTCAATAATACATTTGTAAATAACATATGAGTAAAAATAGTCTAAAGGGTAATTTTTGAATATTTTGATTTAAACAGAAGAAATTACAATTTATCAAAATTACACAATTTATCCAATGAACTGTGTAAGCATTTAGTGCACTTAGGGGAATTTATAGCACTGAAGACACAGACAAAAGAAGAGGGAGCTAAACTCAGTAATCTAGCTTTTAGAAGCCAAAGCCAAAAGAGCAATTTAAGCCTAAAGCAAGGCAAAAGAAAAAAAAAAAAAAGGAAAAATCAATAAAATTAAAAACAATAGAAAAGTTATTACAAACCACTCTATGCCCACAAATTTGATAATTTAACTTGAAAAACTAAACTACTCAAACTCACACAAGGAGAAATAGACAATGTGAACAGGTTTGTTTCTATTAAGGAAAATAAATGAAAAGCCAACAACCTTCTAAAAGAGAAAACATCGGGTTTCTTTGGCTTTGCTGGTGAATTCTATGAAAAATTTGAAAAAATAAATGACCTCAGTGGTGATTTCTCCATCATCTCTTCCAGAATATACTGGTTCATCAATTTGAATAAGTGTGCCATACTAACAAAAGGTGTCATAATAAGGCCAGCTGGGTGTAGAGCATAGGAGAACTATGTCTTTATATCCATGCAATTTTTCTTTAAATAAAAACTATTCTAAAATAAAAGTTTATTTTTTTAAACAAGAGCTGAAAGGAAAAATTTTCAAACCACAATTCTATATCAAGCCAAAAAAACCAAATGACTACATTAACATGAATACATATTATGTGTGTATATATGTATATACTTTATATATTGTATAAAGTATATATACTTGTATATTGAAATACATATATAAAGTATTAAGAGAAAATGGGTTTGCTGGGCAAACCCATCACCAGCAGACCTGTACTCCAAGAAACACTAAATGAAGGTCTCTGGACTAAAGGAAGTGGTACCAGTAGATGATCAGATCCTCAGAAAGATATGAGTGTCAGAAATGGTAACTATGTAAATTATGCAGGATCATAGTTTCAAACTATCACTTTTTCTCTTAATTCATTTAAAAAATATCCTACAGTTTAAAGAAAAATGACAGCATTGTATGGTGGGATTTATCAGGTATGGAAATGGAATTCTTGTCAAAACTGTGGCATATAATAGGAGGTTAAAGTTAGTATGGACTAGGCGAGTGTGGTGGCATGTGTCTGCAATCCCAGTGACTCAGGCTGAGGCAGGAGTATCAAAGCCAGCTTCAGCAACTTAGCAAGGCCCTAAGAAATCTACTGAGACCCTGTCTCTAAAAACTTAAAAAAAAAAAAAAAAAGGCTGGGGATGTGGCTCAGTAATTAAGTGCCCCTGGGTTCCCCCCTGGTACCAAAAAAAATTAAAAATAAAAAAATAGTATGGACTTAGAAGTTTTTTACATTTTAAATAAAAACATTAACTCTAAGTTGATGGTTAAAATTTAAGATTACAGAAAAGGAATAATAAGAGCAAAGGTCAGATGATACAAACAGGAAACAAAGAGCAAAATATGAGGCCTAAGTCCAAATATATCAGTATTACATTGGACAGAATGAATTAAACCCCAGTTAGAAGGCAGAATTATCAGAATGGGTTAAAAAAAATCAAGAACTAATCATGTCTACAAGAGATATGCTTAAAATCTAAAGATACAGATTGAAAATTAAAGAATCCAGAAAATGATAATGCAAAAATAAAGAATGATAAGTTGGAACTGCTGTATTAATATCAGATAAAATAAACTGCAAAAGTATTACCATAAATAGAAATCCCGAAGAAAGATACGACAATAATTAATGCTCCTGAACCCAGTAACAGAGCTTCAAAATATATAAAGCAAAAATCAACAGAATGAAAGGAAGAAATAGTTACCAACCATCGTGGGAGATTTTGATACCTGTCTCTCAGTAAATACATAAAATGGGCAAAAACATTAATAAACACATAGAAGGTTGGAGCAACAGTATCAAATACCTCAGCCTAACTGACTTTATAGAATACAACACCCAACAACTACAGAACTCCCGTTCCCTTTAAGGGCACTTCATACTTTCATTGAAACAGATCATATTCTGGGCCATAAAACAATATTCCTTACCAATGAATTGGATGGATTCAAACTCAGAAGCTTCTTCTCAGCAAAGGGAATGATCAATAATGTGAAGAGAGAGCCCACAGAGTGGCAGAACATCTTTACTACACGCACATCAGATAGAGCACTAAATTCCAGGATATATAAAGATCTCAAAAATCTTAACACCCCAAAACCAAATAACCCAATCAATAAACGGACTAAGGAACTGAGCAGACAATTCTCAGAAGAGGGACGTTCATCAACAAATATGTGAAAAATGTTCAACATCTCTAGCAGATGAAGAAAGTCAGAAAGTTTGTGTTGCAGAGATGAATAAATGTATATATTTATGAAAAAAACATCTCTGGCAATTAGAGGAATACAAATCAAAACTACTCTCAGATTTCATCTCACTTCATTCAGAATGGCAATTATCAAGAAGACAAGCAAAAATAAAAGTTGGTGAGGATGTGGGGGAAAAGACACACTCATAGATTGCTGGTGGGACTGCAAATTGATGTAACCATCATGGAAAGCAGTATGGAGATTTCCTAAGAAAACTTGGGATGGAACCACCATTTGACCCAGTTATCCCACTTCTCAGTCTATTTCCAATGGACTTAAAATCAGCATACTACAGTGACGCAGCCACATCAATGCTATAAAGTAGCTAAACTCACAAGAGTTATACTATGGAACCATCCTAGGTGTCTTCAACAGATGAATGGATAAAGAAAATGTGGTCAATATGCACAATGGAATATTACTCAGTTTTAAAGAAGAACAGAGTGATGGTATCTGCCAGTAAATGAGTGGAAGTGGAGAATATCATACTAAGCAAAATAGGCCAATTCCAAAAACCAAAATCTAAATGTTTTCTCTGATATATTGACACTAATTCACAATAAGGAGCATGGCTATGGAAGAATAAAGTTACTTTGGATTAGGCAGAGGGGAGGGAAAGGAGGGGAGCCAGGTATGGGGTGGGAAGAAGAGTAGACATTATTACCCCAGGTGCATGTGTGACCACATGACTGATGTGATTCTACATCCAGTACAACCAGAAAAATGAGAAGCTATACTCCATTTGTGTATGATGTGTCAAAGTGCCTTCTACTGCCATGTATAACTAATTAGAACAAATAAAAGAAAAAAAAAAGAATGGTGGCAGCCAGGGAGTGGAGGAGGAGGAATGGGAGTTCTTTCTTACATGGTGGCAGAGCTTCTGTTTGGAGGGACAAAACTGTTCTGGAAACAGAAGGTTGTACAATATTGTGAGTGTAATTAATGCCTCTGAGTTGTCCACTTAACATGGCTAAAATGGCAAATTTTATGATACAAGTCTTTTAAAACAATGAACACTTTAATTATTAAATTTTTAACATTTTCTTTTCCAGAAAATCAAAAGAGTAGGATGACATTTCCGTAGTTTTTCTGGAGAACCTCCTTGGCCGCCAAGATGTGTGGCGTTAAACTTGTGAGTGGTTTCGCCATATTCAGGAATGGGTGCTGCCAAAGAGAGGAAACAAAAAGTGCATAATTTAGAAGCAAAACATGTTCTTTCAACTAAGGCCTGAAGACTACTTATGAATACAATTGACTTAAACAACCCATATTTTAATACCTGCCCAAACCTCTCATAATCACAACCATAACTTTCATAAATTATTTTGAAAACAGTTGTTTTTAATTGTTCTAAAGATCGACAGTTAAACAGCCCATTAATACACTCACACCAGCACCAAATGGACACAATATTGGATAATACACAAAAACAAAATATCTCGAAATTAAACTTTTACTCCTGGCAGATGAAACCCTAAAATGTAGCAGCTGCCTTATTGCTAGTGATCAATGAACAGTGAAATGAAAACTTTCTGTTGGTTATTCAAAAAGAGTCAATATTTCCCCCAAGTCACATCATTTCCAAATTTACCTCTAGTAATTCCTTGGCTGAACCTCTCTTGTCCACCTCCACTTCAAGACATTTATTCAAGAAGTCCAGGAATGCCAGGGAAACTTTTTGCAGGTTCGCAAGTCCAGGTGCTCCATTGGTGGCAATGAGGTGTAAGGCCTAAAAATAGAACAACATCTGTGACATTCTTTTTATGGGGGGGGGGGTGTGGAATACTGAGGGTTGAACCCAGAGTGGCTTTACCTGTGAGCTACATCCCTAACCCTTCTTTTTAATTTTTGAGATAGGGTCTTACCAAATTATTGAGGCTGGCCTTAAACTTGTGTTCCTCCCTCTTTAGCCTCCCCAGTCACTGGGATTACAGGTGTGCAACCATTGGGTATAGCATTTATGACATTTTTAAGGTAGCTCAACAAGTTATAATGTAATTTATCAAGTTTATGGAACTTTGTGTGTGTGTGTGTGTGTGTGTGTGTGTGTGTGTGTGGTGTTGGAACCCAGGGCCTTGTGCATGCTGGGAAAGCACTCTACCACTGAACAACATTGCCAGCCCCTCTGAATTCTGCAAAGACAATCACTATAAATACTACAGTGAGTAAAATGAGGTTATCATTATCTCTTCCTGCTTGAATTTTGTATCCTCCCTCCTTCCCTTCCTTTATTGTTTCTTCTCCTCCTCCTCCTGCTTAGACTTCCCTCCTTTCCTTCTTCACTCCTTTCTTCGTCCCCTACCCCGCCCTTTCTTTGTAGGGATGGTGCAGGATTTGAGCCCAGGAATATGCTAGGCAAATAAGTGCTTTACCACTGAGCTATACACCAGCCCTCTTGTCATTTATTTGCAGACAGGGTATCTCTAAGTTGCTCAGGCAGGCTCCAACTTGAGATCCTCCTGCCTGAGCCTCTCCAGAAGATGAGATTACAGGTGTGTGCCCCCAGGCCTGGCAGCTTCATCTTTTCTGGGTTGAAGTACAAATGCAATACATTTGCTTAAAGAAAACAAAATCAACAACAACAAAAACCCCACCTGGGGTGCATAAAAGTATATCGAAAGATGGTGACAATCCTACGACCCATGTGGACTATCTTGTTAAACCTTCGCAAGCTTTTTAAAAGTCACATTTCAAAACAATTTGGATCTACTGAAACTCTCTTCCTTCAAAAGCTATATGCCAGCTTCATCATTCCTGAGAACTGACCATAAAAACATTCTAATGGCTAAATTGAATGGTGCCTTAATATGGGTATTTTCATAATTTAACCAATCCCCTTTAGAAAATCTTTGTATTCTTTAATTTTTATTATTACCTTTAAGTTTCTAGAAATGAAATTATTTCTAATAATGGATTTTTTTGTATAACAATAGAGACCCTCGCTGAGTTGCCTGTGAGACAGGAGGAACACTTTAAGGGATCTCACTGACCTTCTTCAAAACAGAAAAGACAAATTGCAAATGCTTTTTCCAAATGCATACTGGATCTTAAAATGTGGATCCTGAAATGTTCCCATGTTGGCCCCTCATTTTCTTGTTATTGATATCTTGCATTACAGTGCAATATACTTACTACAATGATAACTATGTGTATACATATCTATATATTAATACACTTTTGTTGTTTTTTGGCAGTGCTGGGCCTTGAACCCAGGGGACTCATGCATGCTGGGCAAGCACTCTACCACAAATGAACAAATACGGATATACTGACACTTGATATTAGAGTTACTCTTTGTATTGTATTATATAATTCTGTGGGTTTTGAAAAATGAATAATGTCATGTGTCTACCCTTATAACATCATACTGAATACATTCCACTGTGCCTGGCCAACAGTTCCAATTTTCCCACATTCTCACCAGCACTGATTATTGTCTGACATTCGGTGTAAAGGGGTGTCCTGTGGTTCTGATTTGTATTTCCTTAATTACTAATGGTATTGGGCCACATATGATAAAGCTTTTTCAGAGGAGTCATCTTGCTTTCCTCTTTTCTGGACCTTGGGGATCAGAGGCTGAAGTTCAAAGTGGATAACCTGGTTTCTATATCCAGGGTACTTAAATGGGTAAGAAAAGTACCTTCACTGTGTAGAGAGAGGCACATACCTAGGAGACTTCAACTATGTAGAAAGGTGAGTCCATGCTTACTTACACCCCAAACAGGAAACCATACAGCGAATAACAAACACCTACACTCTTTAGCTAACACGGTCAGCTCTGTAACTCAGAAGCAGTGTGACTTGTAGATACAAAGTAAGGGCAGAGGTTAGATTTTATCAAGATTTGATCCTAAATTCTTGGCCAATGAACAACACAAGGAAGTTCCAACTACACTTTAAGGGAAAGTATTGTTCTTGCAGTGAAGCTGGTGTTACACTGGTCTTACCTGTGTGGGATCTTCTTTCATGTATGGAGGCTCTCCTTCCAGCATCTCAATGGCCATGATCCCTAGTGACCAGATGTCAATTTTAGGGCCATAAGCTTTCCCCAGCACCATTTCTGGTGCCATCCAGTAGGGTGTTCCAAGCATGCCAGTGCATGTATTCTGCTCAGGGGTGAGATGAGCACAAAACCCAAAGTTGTCTAAGAAACAAAAACAAAACATCTAGAGTTAATAGCTTCCAGATATGGTTTTGTAAAAGAGTTCACCTCAGATGACATAATTGCATTTGGACTATTTTATTTAAAGAATTTAATAATAAAGTAGTCCAGACTGAGATTAGAATATTTTGGTGATGTTATATACTGCCACTTTTTGCTTCTTCTTCCTACAAAAGAGTGCAAATTATTAGGTGGGCTTTTGTTCTCAATAATACATTTTATCCTAAAAATTTTAGTAAAACTGAAGGAGGTTTATTTAAGAGATCCTTCCATATTAGTGCATTTATCTGCCTCATTTTAAAAACTATAATATATTATGGTGTATTAACACAGCAAATTACCATCTCTTTACTGTTTGATATTGAAGACAGTTTTAGTTTTTCTTTACCATGTTGCATAGAATATCCTTTTACTAATTGTGGTGCTTATATTTAGTAATTCTATAGGAGTGAATACTGAAAAGAGCAACTGTTAGATAAAATAATATTTACAATAAAAAGGAGTGTTTATAAAAGCCAGGTACCATTCAAGCACCTTGTAAAAATATCTAATCCTCATAATAACCCTATGAAATAGGTAAGTTTAAAAGGTAAGTTTAAAAAATTTGTTCTGGGTAATTTCCTTTTTTTAAATTTTTATTCTTTTTGATGGTGCTTAACTACTGAGCCACATCCCCACGCTTTTCAAATATTTTATTTTGAGACAGGGTCTCACACTAAGTTGCTTTAGGACCTTGCTAAATTGCTGAGGCTGGCTTTGAACTTGTGATCCTCCTGCCTCAGCCTCCAAACCACTGTAGTACAGGTGTGCTCCACTAATCCCAGCCCCAGGTATGCTTACTATTTAAATTATTCCACTAATCCCAGCCCCAGGTATGCTTACTATTTAAATTATTATGACATATATGTTTTTAGTTAATTCACTCTAAGATTATTCATCTAGTAAGTGGCAGAGTCACCACAAAACATGATCCAAAAAGTCTAATTCCATTTTCATATGTCTCCACCAACAATGTATATGATTATCTATTCCCAACTTGCCCACTAAGATAATTTAAAGGTAGAATCTTTTATTTTGATGACATGATTGAGTAACTTTTACAGGATGTACTTTAATAGCTCTGCTTGACTCCTCCAGAGGGCATGGCAGGAAACCAGAGATCACTTTGTTTTGCATGACTCTGCTGTGTCTCCTTCTGAAGAACATTAGAAAAGTAGGATGTCTTCCTTGTCATCCTTGAGGTCAGGGTCATACAGCCCTCTCCTGAAAAGGCTATCCTGAGTAAAACTCAGAGAATGCTGAAGAGTACCATGAGAAAAACTAACAGATGGCGGAAACAAATGCAAATTGATCTCTAAGGCAGCATCCACACTAGCACAGGCCCAGGCACTGCTTCTTAGTCCTTTACATGTTTAACCTCCAAAAAAATCCTGAGATTGGTTCTATTATCTTCCTTAGTGAATAAATGAGAAAAGACACACAAAGAGATTAACTTGCCCAAAATTACTGTGCAAATAGTAGCACCTCTGCTATTTAAACCCAGTTCAGTTCCCAGCTCATAGTCTTTACCACTAGATTCTAGCCCCCTCTTCCATATTTTAATTTTCAAAAAATATTAACAAAGGGTTTTTTTAATTTAAAAGGGAGGAAAGCATAATAGAAAATAAACAATGAATGCTTTTCCTTCACTTGTTACTCACTAAGTTTGACGGATCCTTCCATCCCCAAAAGTATGTTGTCACTTTTTATGTCGCGGTGAATCACATCATTGGCATGTAAAAACTCCAATGCCTGTAAGCACTGAACACAAGAAGACACGTATCAATGAAACAGTCCTGGAAAGTTCCATTCACTAGCTCACACAGAGTCATTATAGCAGTAGTTGTGGCCTGAGCACTGTTTGTAGTCTTCAGCCAAAGACCCTGCAATACTTAACATTTATAAAGAAAAACATCCCTCATATGCAAAGTTCTGAAGACATAATACCTTAATTAATAAGAAGATACCCTCCCACACTCTGATCTCATCTAGAGGCATTATTAAATAATGTCTTACTAAGCCCTTTTTTTTTCCCCAGTGATTTTTTTTTTTTAAGACAAGGCCTTTCTATGTTGCCCAGGCTGGCCTCAAACAATCCTCCTGCCTCAGCTTCCTGTGCAGCTAAGACTGCAGACACCTGCCTTGTGCCCAACTCATCCACCACTGATTATTTTCCTTTTCTTTCTTTTTTTTTCTTTTTCAGTGCTGTGAATCAAACCCAGCGCACTATGTATGCTAGGCAAACTGAGCTACATCCCCTGTCTCTACCATGGATTTTTAAAACTTATGGTCTCTTATAAAATGAAGGATATGTCCATATAATATCTAGGCCTTTTCAGGTTTAAATGCCTAGAAGTACACAGCACTTGGTAAACGAGCCTAAATTCTTTAGAAATTATTTCCACAGTAGAGGATAAACTTGTGGTTATTTGCACTTGAAACCTAAGGTACTCAGAAGTCTCATCATTGTGAGCCACTAAGAGAAGCAGGCAAGATGGAGGGTGGTCTGGTTGCATTGAGGGGGGTCGTCAATATAATGTTCTGTCCTCTTCATTTCTTCTCTGGTAGATTTTAGGTCAAGCTATCTCCACAGCCTGACACCAACCAGGAAAATATATGGCTAGGGGTAGAGTTCAGTGTAAAGCCCAGCATGTTTGAGGTCCTAGGTCTGATCCCCAGAGCCGAAACAAAGAAACAAAATAACCACCACAATTAAAAACAAATAAATAAAATAATGTTATTGTGTCCATCTACAATTAAAAATATTTTTTTAAAGTGAAGATAAATTACCCCCTTCCTTAAATACTAGAATAAAGTGAGATTTAAAAAATTCTTTGCCCCATGGTTTTTGAATACAAAATTCACTTGGGAAAAGTGAGTTGTATTTTTATTCTCATTCCCATCAGAGTAGAACAACAAAGTCTGTACATTATTTGTAACTAGTAAAAATACCATTCCAAATATTGTACTATTATACAAAGAAAAACCATATAAATGGTATTTTCATGTTATATTTTCCACACATTTAATCAGATTCTTGAAAAGAATAAAGCCAGAGAAAAATACTTATACAAAAAGTAGAAATAAACTAGTCACAAGTTAAAATTTTGGGCACATAAAAGAAACCCCAAGTGAATGCAGTTAGAACAACTCCTAAAGTAGACTTTATATCAACTATGAAAAAATTGAGAAAAACAAAGTATTAATGGATAAATTCTTAAGTTTTAATTAGTTTTTTAAGTAACCAAATATACTCTGTTAAGAAATATTATATTCACTATGTTTTACACCATAGTCCCTCATAAACTTTAATAATTTTGTCATTTATGACAATGATCCTGTGGCATCAAGACAAAGTAGAATCAGTTTCAGTGACAATAAGCAAATAATTATCCCAAGTCCCCTCTATAGAACAAGTTATGGAGAGACAGATGGAACTTGTTTTGGGCTTATACTTAGGCAATTTGGAAAACTTTACTAGCTTAAGCAAAAAGAAATTCATTAAAAAACATAAAGAAACCACCAGTTCCTTCACCTTCTGTGAGCTCAATAAAGCCAGAGGCTGACTTACTGATATTAAAGATAAATGTGCCTTGTTTGTCTGTAACAGTTCTAGTTCCCAATTTATTTTGGGAGGGGGGTGCAAGTAGGGGTGGGTGCCAGAAAAGGGACACTGGAGATTTAATCCGGAGAGACTTTACCACTGAGTGACATCTCCAGCCCTTTTTACATTTTAATTTGAGACATGGTCTCACTAAGTTGCTTAGGGCCTCCCTATATTGCTGAGGTTGGCCTTGAACTTGCAAATCCTCCTGTCTCAGCCTCCTGAGTCAGTGGGATTACAGACATGCACCACCACACCTGGCTGAGTGGTATATTTTTAAAAGCACCCTACTTTGTTCTCAAAAGTGCACTGTCTAGATGATAAACTATTGTGATGACTGTAAGGAGACTGCAGGTGAATTTAGTTCTTCAAAGACCCTAACCAGGCATGCGTGTAACCCCAGCTACACCAGAGGTGGAAGTAGGAGGATCACAAGTTTGAGGCCAAGCTAGGCAACTTTTGAGATTGTCTCTAAATAAATAAATAAATAAATAGGACTGGAGATGTAGCTCAGTGGTGGAGCACCCCTGGATTCAATCCCCAATTTGGCAAAGGAATAAAAAAGGGCCTAAACCCCATTCCTAAGGTATCCCTACACATGAAGGCCTGAAATGCTCATCTGAGATGAAACAGTATGGGATAACTTGCAGAGGATGTGTACAACCAAAATTCCCTGTGCAGAACAACTTTCCTTTAATTCATCTCTTGCTGACCACACATCACCCTGCTTTATCTCAAAGAAAGCAAACTCACCTCTCTGCACACAGCAGCAATCCGCGCCTCATCCATGCAGGTTTCGGTTACAACATCAGTGAGTGGCCCGCCGTCAAGGTACTCAGTCACTACAAACAAGTCATCTCCGACCAGGTAACTAGAAACAGAACATACAAAACATACCTTTTATTTTTTTAAACATATGACACTCTTTGTTCAAGAGTTCAAATATTAAGCGTCATATTAATAAAACTACAGAGCTGATAGTTTGAGAGCTAAGAAGAAAACTGGAAAGTTACTATGTAATAGCACAAAAAAGCCCAAGGGCCATTATGATATTCATTATGATTTTTAAGTCATAGTTGGCCCATAATAGTAGTCTCGGTGTATAGTTTGGAGTTTTCCAACCAAAATAACCCTTTCGCATAGGGATTATTGGTCTTGTTTTACAGATACAGAGATAGAGGCTTGGAGGGTTGAAGGAACTCATCTAAGATCACATAGAAAGTGACAGAATCAGCATCTGAAGTCAAGTTCTAATGATTCCAACTCCTATGGCTTATCTTAACCAGCATTCCATGCTGACTTGAAATATTATTTTAAAAAGCAGAGAAATGTACCTAAAAATTTATTTCCATGAATGCAGACCTCCAGACCCCATGATTAGGGCTAAAGTCTCAAAATATATTATCATCTCTCCATCCTAAACAAATTTATATGTGGAAGAAAATCACCTTGTAACCATAATGCAATCACCAGTATCATTTTTTACTAGTCATCTTTCATTCATATATTTGAAAACTTTTTTAAAATATTGAATAATATACTTAATTTTCCATTCCATCTTTTTAAAAAAAAAAAAAACATCAATTGCTAATCTATACTAGCTTTTTATTTTTTGGTGTAGGGTACCAGGGATTAAACTCAGAGGCACTCAATCACTGAGCCACATCTCCAGCCCTATTTTGTATTTTATTTAGAGACAGGGTCTCCTTCAATTGCTTAGTGCCTCACTGTTGTTGTTGAACTCACAATCCTCCTGCCTCAGCCTCCCTAGTCACTGAGATTACAGGTGTGCACCACGGCACTTGGCCTACATGAGCCAAAAGATAAACATATACAATTTGCCATGAAGAACAGCATTTGAAATAAAACTGATGCAAATGTTTAAGAATTGTCTGCTGGTCAGCTCTGTGGGTTAAGACATGAATCCCATTTGACCATTTCTTAATGTTTTAGCTTCTGTTCATTTGCATGAATATACACATCATCAGCAATGTGCTTCATTTAGATGCCTGCTCTCACTTGCCAAGTAGTATCCTTGTGGCAAAAGCACCTTCTAACTTGGAGTAGGCTAGTTTCACCTCTCCTCTTTCTCTTTTAAGTTTACTTCTCACTATTGACACTTCAAAGTGGCTATCCTTCATGGAACCACCAGACTATAAATTTCCATATTTTTATCCTAATGTTTAAAAGAACTTCAAACGTGTTTACCTGTCCAAGAAGTGAATTATGTTGGGGTTCTTTAGTTCTTTCATCACCAAAAGTTCATTAAGGATCAGTTCCTTCTGTGAGTGTTTCTTTAAGTCAATCTGTTTAATCATAACCTATAATGGAAACAGAATTGAAAAAAATGGTTTTCCTAGTTCTCTTAGAAAGTAACAAACACCAACCAGTCACTAATTTATAGTAACACATGATATTACATAGTGAGATTATAGCTGACAAAAAATTAATATTTTCACTTGCACACTGACTATGCTCAGTGTTTTATACTACCTGAACCCTAAATATGTTCAGATTTATCTTGAAGTTGATTACCCAACCTAAGATCAGTCCAGTGCCAGGAATTAACCCTCTTTTCACTCCAACCTGGGAAAACATTTTTAAAAAATATTTGCTTATTTATGACATAATTCCTTCTTTGTTCACCCTCATGTGAGAATGGCTATAAAATTATATAGATTAATTCTTGCAACATATATCCAACTAAAAAGTATATTCCTATTGATTATGCTGAGCTTTATCTAGTTTTTCTCCTAAACAAAAAGCTAATAGAACATCTAGAAGTATGAAAAAGTTGCTACCTTTTTCCCCAGAGCCACATCAATAGCAATAAAAACCGCACCAGAAAACCTAGGGGAAACAAGACACAGTCAGAATTCAGATTTCTAAATCACTGCCATTTATAATAGCCAAGGACTTTACCCTTCTCACGGTTAATTTTTAGATTTAGCATCTTAAAAACAGGAAAAGAAAAGGGAAAAGAGGAGGTAATCTTGTAGCTAAAACTTTGATTTGCAATATTTCAGACCTACAAAAATATAGGGGAAAAGATAAAGAAAAGAGTGAATAACAGACACTCATTCTGACAGCTCCCTGCTTAAGAAACAAACAACTGCACCTGGAAGTTTCTGGTGTGCCCTTGCCTGCAGCGTTCTCCCTCCACCTCAGGGAACCTGCATTGGGTGTTCATCCTGTATTTGATGTGCGACTTTCTAAGTGCTTTCCTATACTTTCAATTATGAAGTTGTTTAGGTATTTCTCCTCAATTTGCTTTTAAAAATTCATCTGACTGGCTTGGTGGCACACACCTGTAAAGAGGCTTGAGAAGTAAACTAGTTCAGTGGTGAAGCACCTCTGGGTTCAATCCCCAGGACCACAAATAAACTAATATAATTCACCTGGATTTCTGATACCTATCCACATACATAGGCATGATTCTTATTCACTCATTATTAATTATTCAACATATTATCATGTTCAAAATATTCAGTTGATTTTCAATTTTTTGTTAGCATTAAAATCAGTGCTGAACTGAATTTAGTTGTTAAAAAAGAAATTAAGGATGTTTCCAAAAATTCTCATTCTAAATCCTACTAATTCTCTCTAAGTTCATAGAACATTTTCTAGAGATTAGTAACAATAAAAATTCAAGATGCTCATTTGCTCTAAAGCAATACAGGAAAGAGCTTAGCATAGTTTAAAAACAAATTACTGAACAAAATCAGAGTGGCAGACTCAAAGATCAATACTCAATAATAGGATTCAAAAACATTTTGGGTATTTATTTATTTATTTAGTACTGGGATTGAACCCCAGGGGTACCTTAGCACTGAGCTAACTCCCCAGTCCTTTTTATCTTAGGTTTTAACTAAATTGCTGAGGCTGGCTGAAAACTTGCCATCCTCCTAACTCAGCCTCCTGAGCTGCTGGGATTATAGGTGTGCACCAGCAAGCCCAGATCAATGTGTGGGTTTTTGCTTTGCTTTGCTTTGCTTTTGTTTTGCAATGCCAGGGATGGAAGCCAAGACCTCATGTAATTCAGACACATGCTCTACGCTGAACTTCATACCCAGCCCCAAGTCAAGAGATTTTATGGCCTATAATCCTGCAATAAAGTTGGCTTTTAAACATGTCATGGGCAACTTTTCCATCTAATAACCCCTTACATCTATGAGAAATAACATTCAAGAAGAAACAATGATGTAAAGTCATTGTTAACATGTAGGGTTTTTGAACAATTGCATTATGTATTTACACAATAAGTTACCACTCATAGAATATAGTGAGTTCTTATGTTGGTGTGGGGGAGGGAGGAGAGCTTATGTTGAATACCCAGTAAGTAGTGAATATTATAACAATACAATCATAAACACTTACCCTTGTCCAATTTTTTCATATCTTGTATATTTTGTTTTAGGGTCACCGATGCTCACCATAGTTCCTATTTTAAACAAAAACAACATTGAAAGTTCAGTCAAGCATTTTAAAAACAAATTAATTTTACTATCACCATTCCTTTTAATAAACTCTACTGATTTTAAAACAGTGGTTTTCAAACACATCAAGTTTCAACAATAAATGGTTCCAAACAAAACACTGAAGAAACTTAAGAAAAGCAAAAGTGTGTTCGAAACAAGAAGACACATACTCTCCATTAGGTTGGGACTCCTAATCAATCACTTTCTCAAACATCATGACATTTCAGAACAATTGAATGTTCTAGTCTGCACATGCTTGAAATCCCAAATAACCAGGAGCTGAGGCAAAAGAATCACAAGCTGGAGACCAGTCTTGGAAACTCAGTGAGACCCTGTCTCCAAACAAAAAAAAAAATGAAATGGATTGGGGTGTAGCTCAGTGGTAAAGCACCCCTAGGTTCAAAAACAAACAACAACTTGGCAATTCATGGGAAATTCTGCACTCTACTTTTCTTCCTCACTGCATGTATTATACACTAATGATAAATTATGAAACAACTATCAGTAATAATAAATGAATGATAGCCAAATGAATAATCCTAACTGACTTTTCTGACTATTCTAGGATATCTTTTTTCAATATATTTAGGAAATCACCTCCTACTACAGATATTACTCTACTATGGAATAATCATATATCTGTTTTAGCAATGTTCAAAGTAATGACCAAGAAATGGTAAAATTAGGAGGTTGGATATAAAACCCTAGTGTGAATTCTGATGACCAGTAAAGTCAAAATGTAAGAAAATCACATTAAAAATTCACTTACTCAATATAAAAGAAGACAGGGCCATGTCGAGGAAACTCACATAAATAATCTTATGTAGGTAATTCAATCTCAAGTTAGCTACTAAGATTCAAGCCAAGAAGCTAAGGGCATAAAGACAGGGGATGTGATAACTAAAGGTCACAAATGAATAGTCACACCTAAACTAATTTAGTTTATTTTTTAAAGCAGCAGCCCTATATACAAATATCTCTAGGATGTCACAGTTAAAGCAGTTTTATATTGGAAAATACTGAGGAATCCAGAACAAATAAACGTTGAATACGTAAGTGCTTATAACACCCATCTCTAAAGTATTTTTCCTTGAGCTTTTACATCACATTGTTCTTTATAACTATAGTTAGTGGGGGCTTGTAATCAGACATTATTGTTACCTCCTTCCTGGAACTGTTTACATTATTTATAATGCTTGATTCAGGCCACTGATATTAAGTGATTTTAAAGAGACATGGAAAACATGTTTTTCCTTTAAATATATTTTATGACTAAATGTTTCTATTTTGAAAAGCTAAAGGTCTGGACAAATATATACAAACCTCCTTTGATAAGGTTTCCAACTGTGTCCATGTTCATACCCTTTACATTTGGCTCATAGGAAATAGTATTGCTCCTGAAGGGACTGACTTCACTATCAATGCATAATATATTTCAAATGCAATAACAAAAAAATGAATAATATTTTGCCTTCACTTTTTGGGGGTGGTACTGGCGGTAGAATCCAGGGGCACTTTACCTCTGAGCTATGTGCCCAGCCCTTTATATCTTATTTTGAGACACAGTCTCACTAAGTTACCCAGACTGACCTTGAACTTGAAATCTTCTGCCTCAATCTCCTAAATTGCTGGGATTATAGTCATGTGCCACCATGCCCAGCTCACTACATTTGAACTGAAGCCATTACTTCTATAAGAAACAGTTTTTCTGCCTTAGCTAAAATAAATGGTATATATTTCAATTCAACTGGTTTTTTTTTGCAGTGCTGTGGAAGGCTTGAGGGCCTTACATACACCAGGCAAGTGCTCTGCTACTGAGCTCTATCCCAGACTTGGGGCAAATGTTTTAAGAAATGTTAACTCATAAATAATATGAAAAGTAGATAACATACTTATTTTCGCCACAATCTCCTCATCGGTCCAATTTGTGTTCTTTTTCTGTTTTTTTGAAGACTTGGCACCACTGCTGACAGTCGCGTCACCAAGAGGTGCAGGAAGAGCATCAGATATAGACTGTGTGGAAATATGCAGAGATATGGTTCATGACTGAGATTTGAAAAAAAAATATTTTCAGGTATTCTTACTGGAACACTATTCAGAGAGTTCCTTAATTTTTAACCAAAACTAAGTTATTTTTTCTTGTTGTTCTAAGGAATGCCATGCTTTCAGACTTAGAAAAAACATGTAGTGAAAAAAATGTGAAACATTTTTCTTTGCCATAGCATGAATGTATTTAAAAGTGTAACTAGCAGCTGGATGCAGCAGTGCATGCCTGTAATCCCAGCAACTGAGAGACTGAGACAGGAGGATTCCAAGTTCAAAACCAGCCTCAACAACTTAGTGAGACCCTGTCTCAAAATAAAAAATAATGAAGAGGGCTGGTAATGTGGCTCAGTGGTTAAGTGTCCCTGGATTCAATCCAAAGGGCCAAAAAATATATATATATATATATATATATATAACTAGCAAAATAGCAGGCCTATGAATAAAATTTCTATGTGCCCAGATCTAAAATAGTATAACAGGGTCTAGGGGTGTAGCTCGGTGGTAGAGTGCTTTCTTAGCATGTGTGAGGTCCTGGGTTGGAGCCTCAGCACCACAGAAAAAATAACTACATAAAACAAATGTATTGTGTCCATCTACAACTAAAAATATTTTTTAAAGTTAAAAAAATATAATAGTAAAACAACATAGCAGCACACTTTAAAACTAATGTTTTTCATAAAAAGAGAAAATGCAAAAGACTAGAAATCTTGACGATGAAATAACTAGTCTCCACAAAACATTTACACAAATATAATGCCTACTCTCCCTCTTTCACTTCAAGGAGCCAGTTGTAAGACAAATATAGAAAACACAGCCATCTGTCATGAGATGGGAATCCAATGGCAGTCCTCCCAGCCACCTCATCACAGTCCAGCCCCCTTAGTACTTCTCTCCCTGGCTCCATCTGAGCTCATTACTGTTGAAATTCTCCTCAGCTGGGGAGGAATTTCACTCTCAACTGTCTTTAGAATGCCATCAAGGCTTTGAGAGAAATGTCAAAATGAGAAATAAAATACATAATCTGGGGAAGAGGAAAGATCTAAGTTTTAGGTAGAAGAGTTACCCACATTATGAAACAGAGAAAAAAACAGGGAAATAGGGGGCTGGGGATGTGGCTCAAGGGGTAGCGTCCTCGCCTGGCGTGCATGCGGCCCGGGTTCGATCCTCAGCACCACATACGAACAAAGATGTTGTGTCCACCAAAAGCTACAAAATAAATATTAAAAAATTCTCTAAAAAACAACAACAACAACAAAAACAGAGAAATAGATGACCTTTCTGGAAAAGGGGGCAAAACATGGAAAGAAGAAATCTAGTGAGTTAAGTATTCTAACCTTTAAAGAAGCCATAGCTTTTTATTTTTCAAAAAAAGTGTTTTGTGATGAGTACTCTTTAGGTAAAAATTTTAATTTATTCTTAAATTAATTTTCTCATAGTAAAATATTTTAAACCTGAAGGCTTTTTGAAATTATCTCTGAAAGTCAAACACAAACAGCTGTTTCTTGAAACACACATGCACAGATGTGCACACCAGGTCATTAGTCACTCACTGGTCTTGTATGATCAGGTCGTGGGGCTGTGAAAGGCTGCACCCCTCCATCACCATCATCTTCCTCCATTACTATAGCTGATGTTTCCGGCCCCTTGGTGTTCAGCTGTGTTCAGGAGCAAAGGAAGACAAGCCAGGAACAGTCAAAGATTAAAATGTGACCAGGTCTCTTTTTTTTAAACAAACTTTAAGAAGTTATTTTTTCCATAGCTAATTTTTAAATGATTAATACACACTGGTTCCAATATAATCAATTAAAAAGTAAAGGTGATTTTCTGAAATATGGAAAATTAAATAAACATATATGATAAACATTCTTGAGTACTATTTAGAAACATTAAATACTTCTTTACCTCTTATTTTAGAAAGTAAAATAAAAACAGATTTGTTTTGGTAACCTTAATTAGAACAAGAACTATAAGAAATAAGTCAACTTACTGCTGGTGTTCCAGAAGGGAAGCAATCCTTCTCTGAAAATGAAAGAGAAAGGAATGTTAACAATTCACCAGAGAAAACTCTTCTATGACAAAAAGAAAAATAATATAAAAGAGGAGCAAGTGAAATGTCTTAAAACTGATTTCATTTTGACTACTCTAGAAATATGACAGTAATAGGAACATAAAAATAATAATTTATATAAGACTCAGCTACTAATTCTATAATCTTAATGAAACCTTAAAAATACATTTTGAAAAACCTGAATTGATCATTCAAATGATTGAATTTCATGGTATGTAAATTATACTTCAATCAAGTTATGAAAATGTAATGGAGTCCTGGCCTGGTAATTCCATGCCTATAATCCAAGTGGCTCAAGAGGCAGAGACAGGAGGATCTTGAGTTCAAAGCCAGCCTCAGCAATTTAGCTAGGTGCTTAGAAACTCAATGCGACCCTGCCTCTAAATAAAATACAAAATAGAGCTGGGGATGTGGTTCAGGAGTTGAGTGCTCCTGGGTTCAATCCCCTGTACCCTGCCCCCACCAAAGTGTAATGAAAACCATACCCACCAAGCTGTATTAAAATATAACATTCCTTGTTTAAGATACTTTCTCCAGAGAATTGCCTACCAAGGAGCAAAAGGATATAAAGCCACCAAACATGGCAACTGGGAAAAGAATTATTTTTGAGATGTTTTGTTTCTTTTTAAAATGCAACTTACTATTGACACAGAAGTTCTAGGTAAAAGTCTAACCTTTTCCTAAGGATACCAGGTAAGATATTTATAGAAAAAGTCAAGATTAGTATTACTTGCAAAGAAGTCTACTTCTTTTGTGAACATAGCCTTTATCTGTGATGATGTAAACATATTAAATACAATTAATCCAAATCAGATATGATTTTTGCATAATTACATTATTTTTAAAATAATGTAATATATGATATATGACTTTAGAGACAGAGAAACATGTTAAATAAAAATTATATCCTGGGGGAGTAATGGGCAAAATCTACACTGAGGGAAAAAGGACAAATGATTTTGCATCTTTTAAAGTACAGTGCAAAGAGGAGAAAGCAGGAGAACCAGCGTGGGGAAGGGGAGTCTAACTAAATCTCCAAAGACATTCCAGGGATCGCTCAACCAACTGCACCACGTGGACTTCATTCTGATGCTGCCTTACACAAGCTGTTTTTAAAAATCCAGTATATTCCAATTCTTACCCACTTAGATTCTAATTCTGAGGAATAAATCCTTTGAGTTATAATGTTTATTTTTATGTATTTGCATGTAATTTTTGAGTAGAAACTACTTTTTATTTCAAGGTCTGTGCATTTATAAAGCAAAAATTCCTTCTATGCCACTGACAATAAACATATCTCTACATTAAACATGTCTAGAAATCCACACTTTTTTCTTCTAAACTGATAATCATTTAAAGCCATTGAGGAGGAAAAAACCCAAAGTAAATGTAACAATATGGAACAAGTGTGAATCCCACTAACATGTTGAATTATAATGTATAAGAAATATGGAAAAAATGTAACAGATCCGATTCCATTTCTAACAAAATTATGAGATCAATGAAATCCTCAGTCTCCAGATGATGTTCAAGAGCCATCCGGACAGTTGACAAAAGGAGTATCTATGTAGGAGAAAGTAGGAACAATACAGTTTAGTCTTTTATTTTTCCAGAAATGATCTTTTTATCTATCAGTGCTTCATAAGTTTCCATGGGATTCAGTCTTTTATCACTGTCTGATTTCTCACCAGGAGGAGCCAATCTGAGATTTTTCTGTTTCAAGGTGCTGGCGTTATAATACTTGATGACACCCCGCAGAGCTAGAGGATGCTCTGTTGGCTTTCCTTTGAGGACCCTGAAGGTTTGTGGCAACTGAGCCCGCTGCTCTGGCATGCCCTAACAAAGAGAAATTCAGACATGAGTTGTGGTTTGAATTGCTCTAATACTATCAATTTTCAGACATAAATATCAACATACATAAAACAAACCCATACACATAATTTTAGATTTGACTAAATTCTAAATGGTCTCGTTTACTAAAACTCTACTTTTCCATATTTATTTTGGAAATCAACAGGAAAGATCCAAACAGAGGAATGGAATGGAGTGCTGGGCTTGTTTGGGGAGAGGGACAGAAGTGTCAAACCTGTATTTCCTCTTGTTCATCACCCACCAGAGTAGCTCCTAATTGAAAAGGTTTAAGCCAAGAGCAAAAGTCAGGGACAGCAAACAGGAAGAAGGATGCTTGCTTATGTCTGGTTCTGCTCTAGGCTTTAGACAGAGAACACAGGGCGGCAGGCCCATTCCAACTTCAGCACTTCAGGGAATACAAATGTAGGGTTTTGAAACCAAGAACCCACTTTATACAGTGTTTACTGTTTCAGATCTTTTTAGGCGGGGAGGAGGAGGAGTACCAGGGGTTGAATTCAGGGGCACTCAACCCCTCAGCCATACCCTCAGCCTTTTTATTTTTTGAGACAGGGTCTCACTAAATTCCTTAGTTCCTCGCTTAGTTGCTGAGTCTGGCTTTGAACTTTCAAACCTCCTAAATCAGCCTCACAAGCTTCTGGGATTATAGTCATGCTCCACTGAACCCAGCAATACATTACAGTTTTTTTCCCCTAAATCCATTTAAAATAATCTAGTAGTACATTACATGATCATGCCATATTTTTAATCATTTTACTACTAATGATATTTGAGTTGATTTTTTGCTACATTTTGCTATCTAAATAATGGCACAAAACCCTTAATTTACGCTGTTCTATGGTTCCCCAAGGACACACATGCTAATAATTACATTTCTGGGTTAAAAGGTATATATGTGAAAGTAACATATTCATTTGTGATTTGGGATATATACATAGAGATTTTTTTAAAATTATTTTGTTTTTTATTGTTTTTTTTGGTGTTTGGGATTAAACCCAGGGCCTCAAGCTGCTAAGCTTAACCTGCTAAACACTACCACAAGTTACCTCTAGTCCCAAGATCTTAATGATATGGAGTCAAATTGGCTTGTTTCCTCCCCCATCTCCTGTACTGGGGACTGAATCCAGAGGTGCTTTAACACTGAGCTTCATCCCCGGTCCCCCCACCCTTTTGCAAATTTGGGACAAGAGTCTTGTTAAGACCCCAACACCTGCATCAAACCTGTGATCATCCTACCACATCCTGGAGACTCTGGGATTACAGGGGTGAACAAAGTGCTTGGTTCCACAAATTATGATGATGATGATGATTATGATGATGCTGGGTTTTTTGTTTGTTTGTTTGTTTGTTTTGAGACATAAGGTCTCACCATTTTCCTCAGGCCCATCTCAAACTCATGGACTCAGTGATCTTTGTGTATCAGTCTGCTTAGCACCTGGAACTATAGGCATGTGCCACCAAGCCCAGATTTCATTTTTATTCTTTTTAAAAAATATTTAGTTGTAGATGGACACAATACCTTTATTTTATTTATTTTTATGTGGTGCTAAGGCTCTAACCCAGGGCTTCATGCGTGCTAGGCAAGCGCTCTACCACTGAGCCACAACCCCAGCCCAATGTTTTTATTCTTTGTTTTTGGAAGTACTAGGTATTGAAGCCAGGAACATTATACCACTGAGCTACATTCCCAGCCCTTTTTACTTTGAGTTAGGGTCTTGCTAAACTACCCAGTGCCGCAGTCTGGCTGGGCACAAAATAATCGAGCAGCCACACAGCCTTGTAGGTTCAAAACAGGAACTCCTTTATTCTCAGCACTCCCACGAACACCAAGCATGCGCCCTCCCCCCCCCACCCCAACCACCACAACCGGAAATCCCTCCTCCGGAAAATCCCTCCTCCAGCACTTTCCCCACCAATGGGAACTCTCTGGGAATCCCCTGGAGAACTCCAAAGTAGCAGGCTGAGGCAGAGAGCAGGGGTCTAATATGCAATTGAATACACAGCTTAACATAACCATTATCATCTTAATGGCTTGCTGCCATCACCTCTCAACCACTCTGTTCTGGCAAAAATGCCATGCTTCATTCCAACTCAGCTATGGCTCTCAGCAGCCCAGGCTGGTCTCAAACTTATGATATTTCTTCCTCAGCCTCCTGAGCTGCTGGGATGATAGGCAGACGTCACTATGCCCAGTCATCTTAAATTGCTTTTTTTTTTATTATTCTGGGTTTCCTATCACATGTAAAATGTCTTATCAATATGAGATTGTACAGCCAAGTGTGGTAGCATGTACCTGTAGTCCCCCATGCTCAGAAACAGGAGCAAGAGAATCACTGGAGCCCACACATTTGAGACCAGTGTGAGCATCAGAGGAAGCCCCACCACACACCCAAAGAAAATGGAAAAAAAGATAAATGTGGGGTGCTCCAATAACTAACAGGGAGAAAATAACCCAAATTTAAATGTGAGGTCTCTGGTGTGGCTCAATGGTAGAGCTCTTGCCTAGCATGCTTAAGGACACGAGTTTTTATGCTTATTCATATTAGCCCCAAAGAAAAATCTAAAATCTCCAAATCCTTCTCTATAATGAAATATATATATATATATATATTTGTGTGTGTGTATCTATATATCTGTGTGTGTGTGTGTGTATCTATATATCTGTGTGTGTGTGTGTGTGTGTACACATTTTCCCCCAGCACTGGGGGGTTGAGCCCAAGGACATCCTACCACTTAGCTTTATCCCTAGCCCTTCTTATTTTGAGATACAGTCTTGCTAAATTGCAGAGGCTGGCCTAAAGCTGCCTCAGTTCCTGAGTTGCTGGAATTAGTCATGTGCCACCAAACCCAGTTTACAATCCCTTTTCTAGCCAGTCCAGTGGTGCACACCTGCCTTCCAGCACTCAGCACACTGACATAGGAGGTTTGCTTGACCTCAGAAGTTCAAGACTGGCCTGGCCAACATACTGGGAACTCCACCTCAAACAGACAGAAAACCCACAAAACAGATGGTCAATTTTTCTTTCCTTTTCCACATCTGAGGATTGAAAACAGGGGTGTGTTACCATTGACCAACATCCCCAGCACTTTTTTTTTTTTGATACAAACAATTCTCTTTAAGTTACTGATTCTTGACTTATGATCCTCCTGCCTCAGTCTCTTGAGTAGGTGGGCTTATAGATGGGCACCCCTGTACCCAACTCTATTATCAGTTTTCAAGTATGCAGTAAATTAACTGCAACAACCATATTGACCATTATATCTCTGAAACTTACTCATGTTTAACTGAAACTTTGTAATTTCTGACTAATCTACTAGCCTATTAATACTAATAATAAACAAGTTCCCTTCCAATTTTATGGAATCGTTTCAGGTGCACTTGGTATTATCCAGGCTGGTGGGTATTCTCCGTCTCCAGCCCTTGCCAGGAAGCCAGCCAGGTCAGTCACTGTGATTATTACTGTTGCTGAATGTCTTGCACAAGGGCAAAGAGTCAGGCTTGAGTCTCCAGAGAGCAAGGATCTTCCCTTCCAGGAGGGCTCTGTCCCAGCCCCTCAGAGCCTCCACCCAACACCAGGAAACACACTTCCCTGAACCAAGGACACATAGGCACAGCTGCCATAGGAAGCAGCAAAAAATATGTGTATATTACAGGCATGGGGGTCTTGGCACTCTCAAAAGGGGAGTGAGGTCTCAGGCACAAGAGACCCCCACGTGGGGCTCAGGAGATGAACTTCTGGTGCGTGTCCTGGCATTGCTGGGTGTGAAGGGAGAATGGGAGGCCAAGCCTCCCTTGGAAGCCTCCCAATGCACCACTGGGCTGATGAGAAGCTAAACACAGAGTCAGTACATGGGGGATCTCCCTACCCTCCACCCCACAGCTCACAGTCAAGTCCCAGGGTGCCTAGAGGCAGGACGAGGGAGAGGGCTGGCACCACATCACTGCAAGGGCACATAGGGGGCACTGTGCGTTACCCACCCCACTGTACACCTAATGCTCCACTCCAAATGTTTCACATCATACATCAAATAAAAATTTCCATTAAAAAAGAAGCTGGGGTTTCTGGGGTTGTGGCTCAGGGGTAGAGTGCTTGTCTAGCATGCATGAGGAACTAGGTTCAACCCCCGACACCACATAAAAATAAACAAATAAATATGTATGTCCATCTACAACAGATATATACATATGTACACACACAAATAAACACACATATAAAAGAAACAGAATTGTCTTTAAAACATAAACCACTGGACTAGTCTGAGTCCTCATTAATAGCTGAGGAAACTGGGAACCAAAAAAGTAAGGACTGGCCCAGAGCCAATCAGAAAGTTAGTGTTTCAGTCTTTTCTCCTTCTCTATCCAGGGATACCTGGGTGTGCTCTGAAGCCCTGTGACCTGTACCCTGTACCCTCCAGGTCCATAATCCCACTCCTTATGCTCCAAGTGCTTCAGCTTCAGGGTCTACCCGACATGGGGGCTTCCCCCAACACATGTGCAACCACAGACCCCCATGGTTCAAAGCTCACCCAATACTCCTTACCTTCTGTACAGGTGCAGACTTGCCACTCCTTGGGGGGGCCTGAGTGGCAGACCTGGGCCAAAGGGGGTCTTTAAGGTGTTCTGTTGGCCCCCAGTTGGTCCCCTGGTCCACCTGAAGGCAGACCGCCTCAGACATGTACCTGGGAAGCAACAGGCCAACTGCAAGGAGTCACTACCCACCTTGGCCTGGTCTCCCTGACCACTCTCACCCCTCAGCTGGGAAAGCACAGAGCCCAGGGCTCTCATCCAGGAGCCTTATCCAGGTTGCCATTCCCCTTGAGCACATTTCTTGGGGCAAGAACCTACAACACCAAGGAAGAGTGAAATTCCCAGAAACTCCCAGAGTGCCCTGGAGAACACCCCAAAGGAAAGGAACAGGGAGTGTTAAGGCTGGGAGCTGGGGACAGGGACCAGGGAAATAGACCCAGCTTCACGCCCCCTGCACCAGCCCCAGGGTCCAGCACTTGAGCCCTTGGTTGACCAACTCACTTGGGTCCCAAAGGTGCACATAGTGCGATATAACAGTTTCTTGGGCAGCCCTCATTGAATGCGTTGTCATGCTGGAGGGAAATGAGGAGGGGAAGAGAAGTTCAGAATCAGCAGGACTGGGCAAGGCCATCTCCCAGGGACCCTCGCTAAGTTGGTCAGTTAAGCCAGGGCTCAACCTGGGCCTGTGGCCAGGTCTAGGTACAGTGGTGCCCAAGAGTGACCCAGGGCCTCCTGCCTTCCCAGGCTCCTAGGAAGAGTGACCTCCCTTCACCCACTTGTGAGCAGCTGTCCCCAGACAGTGCTGACCCAGCACCCACCTCTCCTGCCTTCTCAGGGCTCCTCAACCCCTAGTGCTTCCCTTTGCAGGATCCTTACTCTGTCTCCATTGGCCACACCTGTCCTCTCACCTCATCCTTCCAGGTACCTTTTAAGATCTGTCTCGTGCTGTTCTGCTCAACTGATCCAAAGGTGGTGTCACCACCCCGCTCCCACTTGACTCTCTTACCTCTCGATTTTCTAAAAATCTACCTTCATTGAGTTTCACTATCTGGGAGACCAGTGGCAACAGGGGATGCCCAGACATATTTCCCTAGTGAAAAATCAGAATTTCCAGGAAAATCTGAGCTGAAGACCTTCAGTACACAAAGCAGGAAAGGTCAAGCTCAAAGGTCATGTCCTTCCCAGGACACTGACTGGCTTCTCCTCTCTCCCTTATTCTACTTTCTCTTTCCCCTGAGTTCATCCCTCAGCCTCGACCCCTCCTCCTTCCAGACCAGGTTGAGTTTCATCCCAACTTCATGAGCTTTAGGTACCAAATACTCTGTTATAATGGAAAGTGGCCCAGCAGCACCTCTATCCACCCCAAGTCTCCAATGGCCTACACATGAAGACTTTCATCTTCAACACTCTTCTCCACCAGAGGAAAGACGACTCCACATCAGAACAGCTCTGGAATATGTCCAAAAAGCAACTCGAATCATTGTCCTCTATGAGGTTCTGCCTCCTTTAAGGTGTTCACAGCACTTAAGAAATGAGTATACCACCAGGTGCAGTGGCACACACCTGTAATCCCAGGGAATTGGGATTCTGAGGTGGGAGGATCACAAGTTCAAGGCCAGCCTCAACAACTTAGCAAGGCCCTCAACAATTTAGTGACACCTTATCTCAAAACAAAATAGAGCAAGGATTAGGGATGCAGGTTTGGTGGTAAAGCAACCCTGGGTTCAATCCCCAGTATCAGAAGAAATAAATTAATTAATAGCGGAGCATTAAAAAATTACAGAATCTTTAAACTTAGAGAAAGAATATTTGATTAGATATATATCATGTATAGAAAATATTGATTGTACATAAGGTATAGAAAATGCTTAAGGAATGATAGTAAATTTCTAAGAACTGAGAGGTAAATGTGAATACCTTCCTCCCCCCACATGGAACCCTATCACACACAACTAGAATCCAACAGCTCTGAGGCACCCAGACCAGCCTCTCTCACTGGCTCCACTCCTGGGGCTCCTGCTCCAATTCTGTGTCTCAAACACCCTCACACTCCACAGGACAAAATCCAGAGGCATCTTCTTCTTGCCCCATCTTCTGCCCAACTTCCTGCTGCCTCTCCTTCTTCCCCTTATCCTGGGGGGTCAGGGCACCAGGCTTCTCTCGTTCCTTTCCTCTTTCCTTCTATCCCCAAATGTTGGTTCTTCTGTTTGTTGGTTCACTCATTGATTCAGATGTCTTTTCTCTGTGTTCTGGGGATTGAAGAATTCAGGGCCTTGCACATGCTAAGCACACACTCTACCACTGAGATGCACCCCCATCAGAAATATTTCAGGGCATCAAAAATGCTTCTGTCCAACCAGGCACGGTGGCACACACCTGTAATCCCAGTGACTTGGGAAACTGACAAGGTTTGAGACCAGCCTCAGCAACTTAGTGAGACCCTGATTCACAATAAAAAGTAGCAGGGACTGGGGATGTAGCTCAGTGGTAAAGTGCCCCTGGGTTCAATACCGAATAGCAAACAAACAAACCCCCGTCACTGCACTGGGGATGGAAAGCACCCTGCAAACAGCATGGCCAGCCTACTTTCAGTGGTGAGGGCAGCTGCAACCCGAGGCCCTGAGCACCATGGGGAGTGGAAAGGGAAGAGCAGAGAGAGAGTATCATGGGAACCATGTAGGCAACCCAGCTCACAGCACCCAGGTACATGCAGAGGAGAAGCCCAGAGAGTTAAGTGCTGAGACAGCGACTTCTGGTTTCAGAGGCTGTGTCTAGACCAGAAAGAGTAGTCTGAAGATGTCTGCTGAACTTGGCCATTAAAGAGGGCATCATCCTGACAGCAAGGGCTGGGCTGACCTGGGCCAGGAAGTGAAGGGGGAGCTAGTGAACAAGGTCAACTCTTTCAGGAAATAAGGCCCAGAAGGTACAACAGGTGGAGTGGAGGCCTGGGATGTTAAGGCTGGGACTTGTATGACTTTTAATCTGAGCACAAACATGTGTAGATGACCATGGGAAGGAATGGTAGTGATGTAACAGCAGCACACAGGGCACTCTCTGGTGCCAGCCACTGTTCTATGTGGTTTACATGAATCAACCCACAATTCCCTGTTTTTCAGATAGGGAAATTGAGTGACCAGGGGCTGAGTAGCAACCCCAGGTCTCCCTGCTGGTCAGTTCTAGAGCTGTGATTTGAACTTATGTGGTCTTCACCAGAGTCTTTGCCACCAACCACCAAGCAAGTGATTCTAGGAGGAGTTGAAGTCAGGGAATGGAGTATGGTGGGAGTGAAAGTTGGAGCATGGGATCAGTGCCTGAAATTAGTGCTGCCAAGAATAGAAAGGAGCCCTGTCTGGTGAATCTTAGAGTGCAGACCACATTTAGGTCCCTTGAGACTTGGGGATCCTGGACTTGGAGGGCCTCACTCTGAGCAGAGGAGGAAGGGCGATGGCCTATGGCCTGACCTGGGGCTGGAAGAACCACAGGATGGAGGAAGGGAAAAGGCTGCCAGGCAAACTCAATGATGATACTAGAAGCTGGAGAGAGGAGGAGACAGGCAGACTACAGGGCTGAGGAATAAGGGCCAAGCACAGGAGTCACAGGTGGGAGGGAACCACATATGGCAGTGGTGGGTGGTGACTAAAAGGATGGGAGGTGATGAGCAGACAGGCTCCTCTGTCTGTTCAGCCGTCTCAGGGTCTGCAGCTTCCCCTCCCCCACTGATGCTGCCCACCAGTCTTCCTGAAAGAGACTTTAGTCAAGTGATTGCCATACTAGAGGAAACACAGGGAAAAGATGCCCACTCCTATTATTTCTAGTGGATGCTCAAAGAAAAAGCAATGAAGACACAGATGGGGAAGAAAGCAATGAAACTGTTCCTCACCGAGGACATGAGGCTCCATTCAGAGTGAACAACAACGAATGCTGGGGAAGAAGCTCAGTGGTCGAGCACCCCCTGATTCAATCCTCAGTGCTGGAAAAACAGCAACACTAAGGGCTCCTGCTCTTTGGAAGATGCTATGAAGAAAATGAAATGACAAGCCATGAATTGCAAGAAAAGATTTGCAACACATAGATCTGTATCCAGTATAGAGAACTCCTGAAACTCAATAAGAAAACAACACAGTTTTTTTTAAATGGACAAAAGATTGGAGCAAACACTTCACCAACAATATACCCATGGCTGATAAGACATGAAATATGCTCAACCCCACTGCTCCCGCCCCAGCTAGCACCGCCCACCGCTCTCCCTCCCTGGACTGGACAGTTAGTCCAGTACACCCAAGGGAAACCTCCCTCTACCACACTGTCCTCCCACCTGTCCCTTTTCAACTTTCATTACCCTACTCTGTGGGCCCCTAGATTCTTAACTCCACAGGCATCCTACCCCGCCCATGTCCCTGACCCCACTGGCCTTCCACCTGTCCTTCACAGGTCCTCCCCAGTGACTTCTCCCTCTAGCCCTGCCCATGTCAGCCCCTCCCCTGTCACCCTGACCCTCCTGGGCTGTTTGCCCCTCCCTCCCCACCACACAAGCTCTTCCCAGTGTGGGCCCTTGGGACTGTGGTGGATACGTCATGGTTTTGTCCAAAAACGCCATGTTCCTCCTGTGTATGATGAAAACCACGCAGGTGGCCAGCACGGTACCCAGATAGAGGCACAGGGACAAGAGGAGTAGCAGGTAGAGCCGGATGTTTCAGTGCCCCATACAGTTATTCACCCACCTGCAATGGTGGTCGAACTCCTAGGGGAGAGGAGGCAGGTCAGAGGGCCCATCTGGAATGGCCTCCATCACCCCCTAATCCTGAGGCCTCCCCTAACGCAGCCCTCTAGGCCGCCTGCTCTTGACCTTACATAAGGGTTCCCATCTCAGCGAGAACCTGGCATTTCCATGGTTAGAGCACAGTTAGGACCCCATGGCTCATCAGGTCACCTGTCCTGAGTGAGGTCTTTAGAGACAAGACCTGCCTGGTGTCACTTGGACCAGGATATAACAACTCTGGGCCTCCATTTTCTCAGATACTGGATGAGGATGAAAAAAACACCCTTGCCCTACCAGCCGTCTGTACTTGTGAACCCGAGCAGGGTGGGCACATCAGACACATGCACTCAGAACCAGGAAACCCTTCAACTGGGACACCCAGACCAAGACAGGCAATGATCCCCAGGACAGGGCAGCAGTCAGCCTAAAGGGCTGGGGATCTACTATCAGCAAGCCAGGGGAGGGGACAGTCATTGCCTTTCCTCCCCCTGACTCCACCAGGCTCAGCACAGAGGGGATGCCCTTTGCATATCAGCACCTGTGCAAGCAAGGCCAGCCTCGCTGGACAGGTGTAGAACTGGAGGCAATAACAGATGCAAGTGACCCTGAGTGGCAGAGAGCCACTTGAAGAACTCTGGGAACATGGTCTGATACCCCCACCTGGCCCACTCATGATGTGAGGTTCCTGGTCCTGGCCAGGTGCCTGGAGATAGGTTGGTGAGTGGACAGGGAGGAGGAGCACTCACCTCCACACAGATGTCACACCTTTTGCAGTGGAAGGTTCGGGGCAGGCGGTGAAAATAACAGGTGGGACACCACGGCATGTGGTATAACCTGCCATTCACTCGTGCCATGTAGGGAGCCTCAGGGTCCTGCTCGAAGGCACCTGGCAGGGGGAGATGTGTGGGCAGTGGAGGAGGCCCTTGTATCACTCTGATGCTTAGGGCAGCCCCATAGCATCACTGGGCATCAAGAAGGTGGGGAGGAGGAGGGCAGGGGAACCCCAGTCCCTGTTGAGCAAGCTGACCACTCAGATGGGCGGCCGTCAGAGAGAAGGGCTGTCCAGCCACAGGAGCTCTACATGGAGCTCCCCCCTTTAGAATAGTGATCAGTGCTTGGAGTCGGGTGTGAAATGGGAAGGAGGAAGGGTGAACTGTGTGGTTGGAAGAGCCTCCTGCCTCTTTTGCCCGGTCCTCCCTTCTAAAGCAACTGGAAAACCTCCAGGATTCTGTTTTTCACACTTCAGTGGCTTGGGAAATGAAGTGCCAGGGCCCAAGTAATGATGACAGGGTAAGAAGGGATCCTGAGGCCACAGGTGGGGTCAGCCCTTTACAAATGACCTCTGTAGGCACCAGCCTTGGGGTGCCACCTCCCTCTCCCAGGAGTCTGAGGCCTTACCTCTGTGTAAGGTGCCTGGGTCCGAAAAATTCATGCCAATGAGGCTGTACAAACTCAGGAGGCAGAGAAGTCCGGAGACCACTGGGTAGGCCCACTCTCCATTTTGCCCCAGTGCTCGGCCTCTGAAACCAGAGCCAGACTCAGTTCTAGTCGGGGGCAACCCGGAGCCCCCATGAGGCCCAGCTCACCTGAGTTCAGACCCACACACCTTAAGGACGGATCTGAATATCCAGGCTAGAGACAGACCCCATTCCCTCCACCAAATGTCACCAGCATTACCAGCCTCCCACAGTCCCCCAAAGCCTCAGGCTCCCCACATCTCTGTGCTTCCCACTAAATATCCTCCTTCCCCTCCTGGCCTCCCTCCACCTCCCTGCCTCTGCACTCTCACTGTCTATTTCCCTTCTGTCTCTTGGTGGGAACCCAACAGCTGGCCCGGAGACTCACGGAAACGTAAAGAACACAGCACTTAGAGAGACCAGGGCTGCCACATTGAAACAAGCCCAAAGGCTTGAGAATAGCCAGGATCTGGCTGGGGGTGGAGGTGGGGACAATAAATCGTTTGATGCAGTCATGCTGCGATGCCTGCTCTCAAACAAATGAGAGCCAACCGCTCCTTCTCCTGGGTTGGCACCCAGAGTACCATGACTACAAGTGTGACATCAGAGAGGTTCCGGAATGGGGGCTCTGGCTGCTTCCTGTGCCCACTGATATCAACCTTCCCCTGCCCTCACATACACACTTATAGACGGGGACATCCTGCTCTTACAATGTGGCTTTGTTGGAGCTTGTGAGGATGGATGTAGTTTATCCCCCAAAGGTTCATCAGCTGGAGGCTAGGTCCTCGGTGCGGCAGTGTTGAGGGGGTAGAACCTGCAAGAGGTGGGGCCTAGTGGGAGGTAATTTGGCCACTGGGGATGAGGCCCTTGGAAGTGAGTAATGAACTTCTCTGGGTCCCTGTTAGTTCCTGTGAGAGGGGGTATTATAAAGAGAACAAGACTCATCCTCCCCACTTTCTGGCCATTCAGTCTCGACCCCTTGCATGTCCTCCCACCATGATGCCATTCACCATGTTGTGATCATTCTCACCAAAGATCAGTCTCAGGGGCTGCCAAATGTTGGACTCTGTGCTAAATAAACCTCATCTCTTTATAAAGTACCCATTCTTGTGTATTTTGTTAGAGCAACAGAAAGCAGCTAATACAGAGACCATGTCATATGGTTTATGGGGAGAAGTTTGGTGATGGTTAGTTATCCCCCTTTCAGGCCCAGTGCTAATGGAAGTAGGCTGTGCTCCTCGCTTATCCTAGCTCCACGTCTTCCTTTTTGTTGTAACAGAGCTCCAGTTTGGGGAGGAGGTAGCAATCTACCAACTAAATATCTTCCCAGTTTCCCTCACTTCCAGGGTGGGCTTTATGACACAATTCTGGTTAAACAGAGGCATGCAAGGGGCTGGGATTTTGGCTCAGCGGTAGAGCGCTCGCCTAGCACGGGCGGAACTCGGGTTCGATCCTCAGCACCACATAAAAATAAAGGCATTATATTGTGTTCATCTACACCTAAAAAATAAATATTAAAAAAAAAGACACGTGCAAATGTCTATGGAGGATTTCTGGGAAAGCTTTTGCCTTTTCAATCAAAGAGAAAATGATGCAGTTGGTAGAGCTCTGCCCCCCTTCTTTCTTTCTTGAAGCTAGACCTGCCGCCTGGGTGCTGCTTGGGACCCTGTAAGCAATAAGCCATGCTACCCAGACACAACTTGTGACATGGTTGAGTTCCTGTCCTATCCCTCAACAGCCTCCCCCTGAGCTGTGTATTATAAAGTAACTGGGTTTCTATTATACTGACATGTGAGATTTTATTGGCCACTCAGCACCTGAAACCCTCTGTGTTTAGTGAATTCTTCCCACCATAAGTCTTGGTGAGGGGCAGAAACCATTTTCCCATCTCAATTGGAGCTGAAATTGGCCAAACACTTGTGGCTTCTCTGGCCTGTGATCCATGTGACATCAATTTCACTCTAGAACTGCTGCCACCGACTGAGAAGTCTGTGCTGAGATGCAGCAACTGCACATATGGAGTCCCCCCCCTCCCTTTTTTTGGACTGGGGATTGAACCTAGGGGCAACTAGGTATATCCCCAGCCCTTTTTATTTTGAGACAGGTTCTCAGGAAGTTGCTGAGGCTGGCTTTGATCTTAGGATCCTTTTGCCTCAGTCCTCCAAGTTTCTGGATTTATAGGCATACATCACTGTTCCTAGCCAAGGAAATTAAATTGATTAAACATCGATCAGGGCTGGGCGCGATGGCACATGCCTGAAATCCCAATGGCTCAGGAGGCTAAGGCGGGAAGATGGCGAGTTCAAAGACAGCCTCAGCAATGGTGAGGTGCTAAGCAACTCGGTGAGATCCTATCTCTAAATAAAATACAAAATAGGGCTGGTGGGCTGGGGTTGTAGTAGTAGAGCGCTTGCCTTGCATGTGTGAGGCACTGGGTTCAATTTTCAGCACCACATAAAATAAATAAATAAAGGTATTGTGTTTATCTACAATTAAAAAACAAAAATGATTTAAAAAAAAATAAGGCTGGGGATGTGGCATGGTGGATGAGTGCCCCTGAGTTCAATCCCTAGTGCCAGAAAAAAAAACATAGATCAGGTCTGATGGCATTGAGAAGGGGCAAAAAGACAGTGTAGGTAATGAATAATTGGGTCAGGAAGCTGGGGCTGATTCAAAAGGAAAGAAAAATGCTAATACCTCCAGAGCACTTCCCCTTCCTCTAAGTGTTGTTATGGTTACCTGCCTCCAGGGAATTATTCCTCCCTGCAGGGAGTTGTAGGGGTTGTTATGAATGCCTCCTGGGCTCTCCCGTCCTGTTGGCACCCTGGATGGCTTCCTT